CAAATAAAGATCGTAGAGCTTTCATTTTAGAATTTTAACTATGAGATAGTAACTCAGACATACCAGTTTATAAAAGACAGTAGTATTTAAATTATATTTCTGATGAAATTAGAACTTGTTTGCATGGTTTAACTTTATTTCCCTTGATAAGTAATCTAACAAAGGCTGTGGACCAAAATTTGGGGTATAGTTTTTATCACAGCAGTTAAATTTTATTTTTTTTTTGATAAATTTTAAAAAACAGAAAACCTCTTTCACATTTTTCCTCCTCTTTCAATTTCAAATAAGTTTAGGGTTAAATTTGCAATTATTTACATTGTAGCTAGTGCTGGCTGAATAGTATAAGAAAAATAATCTCCAAATAGTCTTCTATAGTCTTTGGTACCTAGTACCAAATCTATCTTTTGTTTGATCTTCTAGTTTGCTTGATTAGCAAATGCAGGCAGAGAAGAATTTTAACATGATGGGTTTTTGCTTCCTAATATTGTTTTACCACTGCATGGCAGAAAAAAACAAAATTTTTATGATGGAGAAGACTTATTTTTTATTGCTCTGATTCAAAATTTTTAACTATTGGATATCAGCTTAACTTTTATAAACATTTATCTGGTTCTTTTCTTTAATATTATTATTTTTTCCACGGAATGTTTCATTCCTGCGAGCAACTGTTAGTCAGGTAAACCTAAATTTACATTTCCTAAATGAGTCTAAGTCTTTGCTTATCACTGAGCTAGGGTGATTTATAAAGTCATTAATTAATTCAAAAGCCCTTTAAGACTGTATTTTTTTTAAATCTTGGCTGTAATGTCATAAGAGAATTTTATGTCAATACCAATAGAACTTTCAAACTAGCAAAGAAAATAATATAAAGAGATAGAAGACTTAGAAAGTTCTAGACTCTATAGTTGTAGATCTTTATAGAGAGTTTAAATAATGACCATCTAGGCTCTGAATTGTCCTTGATATAAGTTTGCCCATAAGTTTAAAAATGTACACAAGAATGGGCCATAATCTACAGTCCTAGAAACACTGGCTTTCCATAACATTTGAAAATTCCATTCCATGTCTTATTAATCTTTTCAGAGCAGAGAAAATCCTATAAATCCTGCCAAGGAATGTCGGGAGTTTAGATAGGTGTTTTAGATGGTAGCACCCACCCTAGTGGCTTTTCATTAGCCATCTTGCACCCCCTATTTAGAATGTTTATTTTTGCTTTTAGAAAGAAACCAAGATAAGAGTAGTCACAAAAATTTTAAAGTCGGCATGCAGATGAAACAAAATATTAAACTAGGCACACATACCCAAAGTGAAAGCACTGGAAAAGCCAGGCCTCCCCGACAGAACGTAGTAAGTTCTATAGAAACCAGAGTACTCAGTCAGAAAGACATACGTCTTTCATAACTAAACGGATATTCTAGAAAAGATGGAAGTCTTTTATCATCCTTTGAGAGATATATCACACTGTATAAAGATGGCCTTTTTGAAACCAGATCCCAAACAATATCAGAAAACGTTTACCAAGAAGAGGGAGGCTTGGCCTGAATGACGCCTTCCCAGGACAGAAAGACAGGCTGGGAAAGAGGAAAACTCAAAGGGCTCAGGTGAGTACTGCCACACCAAAGAATCACAAATTTCTTTCAATAAGGATGTTTTTAGTTGCCGTTTCTAACACCATGTATGTCGACCTGAATAACAAAAAGAGAATCTCTCTAAAATTAAAAACAAAATTGTATCCATGAATAGAGCATTGCAGTGGAATATGTGTGCTGCAATAAACTGCACTTTCAGGGAAGACAAAGGCTTTAAAAGAAAAAATGAGAAGGATCACCCCTTTATTTTGAAATAATTATTCTTGGCTACAAAGATCAGTAACAAAGGTGTTGCAATCTAAGGTTGGTCAGGCAGTAGCTATGCAAATGCTCTTGCAGAAGTAGTTTTTTGTGTATGTAAAGTTGCGATGACTTTTGTGTTAAGGTTGTGGGTTTTGCAGTCTTTTGTGACAGTTTTGTTATCAGAAATACAAGCATGAGAACCCTCTCTTCAAGGCCTTCCATGGCTCTATTTGCCAGGGGTTTTGTTTGTTTGCTCATTTGTTTTTCTAACACTAGCAACTCCATTCTGATGCTGACAAGTTTTGCAAATACAACTGATACTCATTTTGGCACTTCTCAGCATGATCTTCAGACAGCCTGCATTACCAGCACTTGGACTGCTTTAATGAAAAACAGATTCCTTGAAGCTCACCTACAACCTGCTAAATTGGAAACACTAGGGTGAACAAGGTAATTCTTGCCTGCAAAGAATTTGAGAACCACTTAAGTGTTTGTAACATGCCAGGCTCTGTGCATGGTCCTTACTTCAGTTAACTCTTTAACAACCCTGAGGAGAAAAAAATTATCCCCACTACACATATGAAAAAAACGAGGCTTTACATTTTTTATTTTTTTCATTTTGTGACATAGTCTTACTCTGTCACCCTGGCTAGAGTGCAGTGGTGTCATTATAGCTCAAAGCATCTCCCAACTCCTCACCTCCAGTGATCCTCCTGCCTCAGCCTCCTGAGTAGCTAGGACTATAAGCACACACCACCACACCCCACGAACATTTTATAGTTTTGTTTTTTGTTTTTTCTTTTTTCTTTTTAGCAGAGATGGGAGATCTCTGTTGCTCCAATTAGTTTTAAACTACTCACCTCAAGCAATCCTCCTGCCTTGGCCTCCCAAAATGGTAGGATTACAGGCACAAGGCACTACATCCTGCCAAGCCTTTACATTGTTGACTAGTTTGTGATGGAGAACTTGAATACTTGACTACAGCCTGAAAGGCAAATGTGTTTTCCATGATAGCCCAGCTGTCTCCAGTTTGAGCAGTCAGGTCTAAGGCATGCTTCTTGTCCATCATGCCATACAGTGATGGGCGATCTGTTGCTCACATGAAAAACATTTTCTTCACAGACACACTCCATTTAGATAAGCAAATATTTTGTCAGGCTGATTATTTTGTGGCCTGATTCCTTTATTCCTATACCTGTCTGCAAAGAACACAAATGACCTAGAATTGCTTGTCCCAGGAAGTATATCTGGAATATCAAACAATTATGTAGTGATTTTAGGATATAATGACATCCTTAGAGGCCACCCCGAAACATCAATTCTATTGATTTATTTATCTTCTGAGTCAGGGTTACTCATTCATTCATTCAGTAAATATTTATTGTGAATCCATTTTATGCCAGGCATTATTCTGGGCAGCAGATATTTGTAATGAGCAAAACAGATAACAATCTCTCTTCTTATAGAGTTTACATCCTTGTGGGTTCCTATCTCTGCTTGATCTCAGTGGCTCAGTGGGAAAAGTAAATAGAGGTATATGTTGCCACACTCAGGGATATCCTCCAGTTATTTTTCTACTGTTTACATAATTCCTAGAAGAACTTATGAGAATTCACAAAGTAAAATGCAAAGCCTTAGCGTAGAGTTTCTTAAGAAATGATCATATGCTTTAAGGAGCATTTCTTATGTGTATGATGAGATTTATGATTATGACAAAGATCGGGACTTTTCTGGAATATGGAATATGTAGTAGAAAAGGGTAAAAATATCCTGCATTCATAGGACAGTCCTATGCCAAAATAAATAAAATAAAATAAAATTTCCACCCTCTCCACCAGAGTCTTGATGGACATTTGGTCATTGGAAAATGTCTCTGTAACTACATGATTTTGAAATTGACACTCCTCTACAAACAAAGAGAAAGTGTATTTTGCAATATTTTCCTAAGTACCAGTGGATAAATTTAAAATGAAGGGAAGATTGTCAATTGTTTTGTTAACATCTTTATCAAGAATCATTCAATTTGTCAGAAAAATCTCATCACCAATGAAGATGCAGCTCCCACAGCTTCTGAGACTTGAGTCCACAATACATTCATGAAGATTCTCTATGTTTTGTTAATTGTGCTATATTTATCTCTTTCACCAAGTAATCCAGGATTGGATTGACAATCCAATCCAATGTCAATCCATATTGACATTTTATGTCATTTTATAATAAATGCTACATTATAAGTATTATATAATGTTGTATTATGAACTATTTTTCTTTTGTAGCACTTTTGCATTAGACTTTGGGTAGTTAACATACATATATATTTATAGTTAGGTTACATTAACTATAAATTTCATTTCAAGACTATAAAGGAAGAACTAAAAATATTTTAAGGGAGATTTTTGATATGCTAGGATTTAGAACCATTGCAATAGACAATCATCTTGAGACGCTGGTCTTGATAAGGTTAATGGCCAGTTATAAAGACTGGGAAATAAGGCTATGCCCTTTGCTTTTAGATCCCAAAGACCCATGAGGACATCACACTATTTTTACTTGCCACTAGCAGAAAGATTAATTCATTGGTCTCCAGCCAAATTTCGCTCTGATTTTTAATCTGGTTCCTTCCCTGGGATTTGGGCTAAATGTGCTACAGGCTCCCATGATTGTGGAATATGACATTTTCATCACTTTTTAAACCACGATGACCTTCCTAATTCTCACAGGCACCAAACAATTTGTCCACTCTTACCTGGGAAATGGTAAAAGGTTTTCTCTTAAATTCAATTAGCTCTTTCCTAGTTTGTTTTAATACCATCAACTACTTTTATTTTCTTAATAGCCTCAGACATTAACTGAAAATCTATCTATACTTATTTGTTGCTACATATCTCTACTTTCTAGAATAAAGTCTCCATAGAACAGGAGTCAGCTCTATCATCTTCACTATTATGTTAGAACATCACCTAGGGCCCAGGAAATAGCTGAAAAAATTAATAATCCCACCAAAAGCCTCATAGCTTTTTAAATGCATTCCTATCATATGTCTGAAGTAGACAAGAACCCTGCTGAACAGCATCTCAGGTGCTTAACACGGAGAATACCCTCATTTATTATTGGCTGAGACAATAGAACTCTTCTCTATTCTCTTTGTAGGGGAGTTCACTTTAAGCTATGGAGGGGAGCAACCACACGGTGACTGAGTTTATCCTTCTGGGCTTCACCACAGATCCGGTGATGCAGATGGTTCTGTTTGGAGTATTCCTTGGGGTGTACTCACTGACCCTGCTCGGAAATAGCACCCTCATAGTGTTGATCTGTAATGACTCCCGTCTCCACACACCCATGTATTTTTTCATCGGAAATCTGTCTTTTCTGGATCTCTGGTATTCTTCCGTCTACACGCCAAAGATTCTAGTGACCTGCATCTCTGAAGACAAAAGTATCTCCTTTGCTGGCTGCCTGTGTCAGTTCTTCTTCTCTGCAGGGCTGGCTTATAGTGAGTGCTATTTGCTGGTTTCCATGGCTTACGACCGCTATGTGGCCATTTCCAACCCCCTGCTTTATTCTCAGGCTATGCCAAAGAGACTATGCATCTGTTTGGTTATATACTCCTACACTGGGGGCTTTGTCAATGCAATAATACTAACCAGCAACACATTCACGTTGGATTTTTGTGGTGACAATGTCATCGATGATTTTTTCTGTGATGTCCCACCCCTGGTGAAGTTGGCATGTGACGTGCAAGACAGCTACCAGGCTGTGCTGTACTTTCTCTTGGCTTCCAACGTCATAGCCCCCACCGTGCTCATCCTGGCCTCCTACCTCTTCATCATCGCTGCTGTCTTGAGGATCCTCTCCACCCAGGGCCGCCTCAAGGCCTTCTCCACATGCTCCTCCCACCTGATCTCTGTTACCTTATACTACGGCTCTATTCTCTACATCTATTCTCGCCCAAGTGCCAGCTATTCCCTAGAGAGGGACAAAATGGTTTCCACCTTCTACACAGTGGTGTTCCCCATGTTGAACCCCATGATCTACAGCCTGAGGAACAAGGATGTGAAAGAGGCTCTGAGGAAACTCTTCAAGTGGGCAACCACCTGAAGTCTGAACTGGCATTAATTTCTCAAATCTGTGCAAAACTATAACAAACGGCTTCAGGGAGAGCTTGGGGAACTGGATTTCTTGTTGTTGTTGTTCAAAATATTGTTCAATTATTTTTTCTGAAGTCTCTGTGTGGGCCACTGAGCAGTAGATTTCAAAAATGCAGGCTTGCTCCATAGGGGTTCCTCACAAGATTAGGAAAAAAAAAAATCTCTAGGCCAAGATTAGATTATAAAAGTATAAGTTTATTCTGTATTAGAGAGAGGGAAGAGAGTAGGCAGGGGAAGAGATGAGAAAGAGAGAGAAGAGAGCAGAGATCAGGGAGTGAGTAAGGGGAAGATGGAGCCAGGGAAAGAGAGAAGAACTGAGAGAGTGGGTGGCATCCCAGGGAAAGAAAGAAAGGAAGAGTGTCAGGCGGGGAACTGGATTTTCAAGAAAAAAATCTTTTTTCCTATTGAATGAAATTCAAAAAGGGAAGTTTACATTTGTATTAGTTTTTCTTTCATTTTGTTGGTGTGATCAGACTGTAATCTGTAGAATTATAGACTCAATTTAATATTAGTAAAGTTTTCTTGAGAATAAGTGTTTCAAATTATTGCAAAATAAAAGAGTATATAATACTTCTGGGATCACAAGAATTCAATTTTTTTTCTCCCTTGTACTGACTCAATTATTTTTCTGAATGTAATGAGTATCAGAGGGAATGTGAAGAGAGCATAATATGAATCAATAACATTAGGGAAAGTCAAGTACCAGTCAAGCATTCATAGAGCTTCCTGGATAACCTAAGGATAAGAAATGCTAAGATTATTTTGATGAAAAAAGAAAGGTCAGTGAGGTGTTGGAAAATAAATTCAGGGAAAATTCAAAATGTCAGACCTAATACAAATGGAGGGGCTGCAACTATTTGTCCTAATTTTTTAAATTTTAATGCATCTTGTAAATGTCATCCTAGTGCTTGTTATAATCTTTCAGCAGCAAAATTCTAACCTATGAACTGCAAATTCTTAATTCCTAAAATGTAACTAATAATCCTTGTAGCCTTTAAAGGCTATTCAATAAAATATCAACTACATCACCATATGTTACATGTTAAACTATAAGTTATTTTTATAATTACGAACTTCTGGTGTAAAAACATAAGCCCTGGGTTTGGAATATTGTTTAATCTGTCTAAACCTGTGTCCTGAGTCTCCCCAGTAGACTGACTGCTCCAATCCATCCTGATGTTGGAGCCCGTTAGGATTCCAAGCAAGAAACGGTAAGTGCCAGGGTGATCAGTGTGAAGCATTTACTTAAAAGAGGCTACCCCTGTCCTGCAGAGGACAGCAAGACAAGAATGTTCTAACTAGACCTGTCCACCATGAGGCAGTTCAGTTATGGAGCTTATGTGAGAATTTAAGGAATTGGGCTCAGAGCCAGGGCTACTTCCTACTTGTTTAGCAATATGTGATTTTTTTCAGAGTTTCAGGCATCAATCTAAACAAATTTATCAGTGCCTGAAAATGTCCCAGGTTGAGTTCACATCTGTAGGGAAAAGCACACAGCTGGGCAGGTCACAGAGTTTCAAAGCAGCCTGTGTTTTCAGTCAGGACAAAGGCTAAGCAGAGGGAACAAAGGTGACCTACATATGGAGGTGGTGGAGTGTTGTCCTTAATTTGTTTCATTTCACTTGACGTTATTTTTCTCTAGTTGGGAGGGTATGTTGCTGTGTGACCTGAGAGAGAGTACTGTGGAATATTCACTGTGTAAGACACAACACACTTTGGGGAAGTACATGTGCAATTTTAAAGACACGTATTTCCTCATAAATTTAGAAACAGTTTTGATTTTGTTTGTTGTTTAGAATCTAAACAACTCTTAAACATTTTGCCTAACCTTATGTTGATGCAGAAGACACAGGATTACAAAGATACTTTCTGAATACTAAATTAGAACTTTATGAAGAAATATAAAGGGAACATTTTACTGAAAATAAATAATTACAAAATGTTGAGCAGCATCTGTGGCTCAGCAAGTAGGACGCCAGCCCCATATCCCAAAGGTGGTGGGTTCAAACCTGGCCCCGGGCAAACTGCAACAAAAAAATAGCTGGACATTGTGGTAGGCTCCTGTAGTCCCAGCTACTTGGGAGGCTGAGGCAAGAGAGTTGCCTAAGCCCAAGAGCTAGAAGTTGCTGTGAGCTGTAACAGCACAGCACTCTATTGAGGCCAACATAGTGAGACTCTGTCTTTAAAAAAAAAATCTTGAGTATATTTCCAGGAGTCTTTCTATTTCAAATATTCTCACATATTAAAGGCTGCTTACAAAGCTTCAAAGTCAAACTATATCATGTAATCTCACAATTTCTTTTTGCCCCAAAGACCTCTCCCAAACAACCAATAGAATAAATTTTATGGAAAATACAGTACTTCAAAGAAGCAAAATACCATCTTGCAGAGAATTAAATAAACAAATACTATAGGTTTTAAATAATTTACAATACATCAATGTACTAATAAAGTTGTTTGCACAACATTTCATTGTTTTAAGTACAACTCAAGTTTAATTGAAATACAGAAATGCATAGAAACACATCTCCAAGCCAATTATTTGGAAAATGCAGTATCAGCATCAGCAAAGACAAGACCCTTCATGTTTGTGGACATATGGTATGTATTGCTTTCCTGAAGGCTTCTTTGACATCTTTGTTTCTCAGGCTATAGATGAGCGGGTTGAGAAGGGGATTAATCACAGTGTAGAACAAAGCAGCCACCTTGTCTTTCTCTAGGGAGTAGGTGGAACTGGGCCTGGAATACATGAAGAGCAGAGAGCCATAGAAGAGCATGACGGACAGGAGATGCGAAGCACAGGTGGAGAAAGCCTTGCGCCTTCCCGACGCTGAGCGGATCCTCAGGATAGCCACGGAGATGTTGATATAAGAGATGAGGATGGCCAGGATGCTAGAGAGGACTGTGAAGCCCACTACACCAAGGAGGACCTTCTCGTAGACCTTGGTGTCTGTGCAGGACATTTTTACCAACGGCGGGGCATCACAGAAAAAGTGGTCGATGATATTCTTACCACAGAAGCGCAGCCGGAATGTGTTGGCAGTGTGGGCCATGGCATTCATAAACCCCCCTATGTAAGAGCCAGCAACAAGCCCAGTACAGAGAGAAGCGGACATGGTACCAGAATAGAGCAGTGGGTTACAAATTGCTGCATGGCGGTCGTAAGCCATGGCTGCCAGGAGGTAGCACTCGGTGTAGGCTACAACACAGGAGAAGAACAGCTGGGCGCCACAGCCCGCCAAGGAGATGCGTTTGTCTTCTGAGACACAGTTGGCCAGGATTTTAGGGGTATACACAGAGGTGTACCAGAAATCCAAAAAAGACAAATTGCCGATGAAAAAGTACATCGGTGTATGCAAGCGGGAATCCATCCGGATTAGGATAACCAGGGTCATATTCCCTGACAAAGTTATCAAATAGAGTGTCAGAAATATTCCAAATAAAATTGGTTGCCACCGGGGGTCTGCTGAGATGCCCACCAAGATGAATTCAGTCAGGAAGGTGCGATTTCCCACCTCCATGTCCGCACACAGAAGAAAGCCTGGTTACCGTGAGGAAGGATAAATGCCACTTAATGATTTTTCTATTGAGATAAGTTAACAAAGGTATAAATTAAATCAACAATTACTGAGAAGCTTGTGGAGTTTTATTCCTTACCATCTAGAATAATATAACTTGAGTCTTCAGTCTCTGACTTGGTAAAACCACTGGAATTATAGTCAGATTTGAAACTTAAGAGATTTCACTTATTAACAGTTCAATGAAAGGCAAGTCTCTTATTCTCATGAGACAGATAAGAAAAATGAGGCTCACAAAGATGAGCCTCACAAAGGCTCACAAAGATGACTAATCACTCCCTAACCAATTGTCTGAATGAGTAAACTATATATATATAACTATATATATATATATATATATCCCTGCCCAATGCTTGGTATATAGTGAGTGCTCAAAAAATTTCAGTATTCTTCTACAAGAACTCCTTATGTGTCACACATTGTGGTGGTAGGCCTGTGAACGCCAATATATTGTACCACTTCTGCTACTATCATGAAATACAAGAATGGTTATACATTCCTAACCACAGGCCAGTTACTAGTCTAATTCCTAGACTTACTCCATTCAAGTCTCATAGCTGTGTAAGGTAGGTGGTCTTACGAATCATGTAGAAAGCAGAGAAAGGTCAAGTAACTTGCCCAAAATCACAGCGTTGGTATTGGAACCAAAAGTCTTTTTAGTTAAGAGTAATGCTCTCCACAGTTAACCCATTTACCTCTCTTAGGTGAATATGTGTAGTTGTTTTCACTACTATTCTCCTAGTTAAGGCAATGCCTGAAAATTTCTCCCTACCCCTAAAAAGACACTAAAACAAATTTTTTTTTGTAGTTTTCTTTTTGGCCTGGGCCAGGTTTGAACCCACCACCTCTAGTATATGGGGCCAGGGCCCTACTCTTTGAGCCACAGGTGCTGCCCCACTAAAAAAAATTTTTTTAAGAATGCTTCGATTTCCACTTTTTTGTCGTTAACATGAGCTTTCTATGCATAGTTCAGACTTTTTTGATACAGTAGATAACAAATATGAAGGAGAAACCACATTTTTCCTAACAGGGTATTTAGAAACCATAAATACTTTACATTTTGTATCTTGAAGCTCCAAAGCTCTCGGAGAGAAACAAAGAAGACAAATCTAATTTAAAACATTACCAAATGAGGGCCAATGTCTCGCAAGCCACCTGACTTTGATTACGGCTATTAAGGCAGAAGGAGAAAGCTGAAACTAAGAGACTTGTGATATGTTTCTGTATTTAAAACATTTTCTTACAGTGGTAGAGTGACTCTAGTTAACAGCAATATGTTGTGTACTTCGAAATAGCCAGAAGAGAAGATTTGCAATGCTTCCAACACAAAGAAGGGAATGTATATTGTAAATGCCATGATTTGATCAATACA